AAAACTGTAGACCGTATGCAGGTCTAAAAGCTATAGACCCTAGATAACACCTAAAAACCCTAAAGGCCCCAAACTCATTAAGCTGACTAGTGCAACACCGGCGTTACAACAGTTATTGAATTTACACCCGATGTGCAGCTCGGCTCCAGAAGGTTCAGAGTCGTGACGGACAAAATCCTGCATGACCTTAGATACCTAAACTATGGGATTTATGATACTATGCTATATTTGGGTCATGCATCAACAGTAAACCCTAAACCCTAAACCCTAAGCCTTAAACCCTAAACCCTAACCCCTAAACCCTAAACCCCTAAAGCCTAAACGCTAAACCGAGTATGACGGTTTAGGATAGTTTCGGGTTTTTGGACCAGGGCTGGCCTTGATCTGAGGGCTTTAGCAGGGTCCCTCAATAGGGACCCTTGTAGGTTATTCGGGTTAATTTGGAGACTACCTGGCTATATAAGGGGTATATAAGGACTACACAATGGTTATTTCAGGTAATGGGATTAAGGGTCCCTATGAGGGGTTCCTCCTAAAGTCCTTAAACTTGAGCCCTAAACCCTAAACCCTAAGCACTAGAATTGTTGCAGGTTCCAGGTGTGACCTGCTAGCGGCTTGCAGCTTGAGTTTGTGATTTTAGGGTTTAGGGATCTTGACAAGTGGTCCTTCAAGAAGCAATGGGCTGCTTAACCCCAAGCCGTAGATGGCCTGACAAATGAACCCGCAGAGGGTCGGTTTGTAGGGTCTCGGGGCGATCCAATCTTGAGCGCACTTTAAACCATACCAGCAAAACATACAGTTTTATGATCCCTTAGAGTTGCATTGTAACGAAATCAACACGTTTAAGAACTCTCAAGAAGTTGGCTTCAGGTTTTTGGGGTTGGAGTACGAGCTAAGGGCGTTTACTTAGTTGCTAACTTCATAAGCCCAAAATATTGCATGTTAATTGTAAGTTGTTATACCCTATTCCGGGTTTAGGGTGTGTATACAGTGTTCTCGCGGTGGGTGCGTCAGTCGCCGAAAGGCTCTGGCAGCTCTGCGAGCAGCCTGGGCTTCGCGGCGGGCGCACAACTGCGAAACCGCTCTGTCGGGCAATATCGACGCCCCAAGATAATTGCACTTTTGCACATAACGCCGCCAAGCATCTGCCTTGCCTCGAAGTTCTGCATCCAGCCCCGCAGCAGTTGCTGTAACGCGTCATTCGGCAGAGAGGCCAGACCAGCACCGATCGCTTCGTCTGTGGGGCCCGCTCTTTGAGGCCGTATGCAGCGGCTGGTAAGAGCCGTGAAGAACTCCGGCAACAGCCGTATCAGCGGCCTCTGCGGCAGCAGAGTCGAGGCATTCGCGAGTTTTCGGTTCAACTGCTTCTGCCTCTTATGCTGTGCCAAGAGGCCTTCTTGGCTCGTCGCCCGATGCACCCGCCTCCGAGTAGATACAAGCGGAAGCAGAAGAACGGGCACGCCCCATGAACGCGAGGCTCTATGTGCGCACACAACATCTCAACTCATACATTTTGTGGCAGCGTCGAAAACACAGGGAATTTTTCTCACGGTTCCAGGATAGCACTAAAACCACACAGAGCAGACGAACAACAAGATGTGCATTTCGCTCCGATTCCGACCCGGACAAGCTCGACCGTCGCATACGCTGATGTTCGCACGACAGGAACCACATGCCAAGTATAAGCGACCTGCCGCCGGACCCGCTTGCGGCCGCGGCCGAGCTCCGGTGCCCCGGTCTCCCTCTCCTGATGACGGACAGCTCTGGTACCAGCTACGCTGCCGCGCAGATGCAAGTGACAGCCGACACAGTCACACGCACACCGGATTAGCCAGGAGTATAGCTGTCTATTCTATGAGCTCGTCCACTAAGCTCGCCCAAGGCGCAGTTTCGTAGCACACCAGAGGCATGTCTTCCTCGAGATGCCGACCGACACAATGAGGCCACACTGGAGCGGTTGTAGTGCCGACGGGAGCAGACATGTGTTCACTACAGGACGGCGAATGCCGACTGTTACTTTAAATAGGAGTGAGGGCCCGCCCGCTAATCGCGCTTGCATCGGCATGTCATCCCGCCCAAACACCACAACTGTTTTCAATTAGGGCTTAGGGTTTAAGGTTTAACACCGACGCAATTCCAGTGCAAATAACCATACATCCCCCATCCATTTTTTCCTAGATAGGGGGGCAACCATTGAGACCAAGTCCGAACCCTAAACCCTAAACACCTTAAACCCTCTTTGAATCAAAAACAGTATTTTAACTTCGACCCATTCCATCCACTACGACCATACCCGAGACCCTCCCTAAACCCTAAACCCTAACACCCCTCAAGAACGGTTGAAGCTTGTAATCATGGCCTGACTATTGGATCTACGTAAAAGTTGAAATTAAAACCCTGTCTCCTCCCCTAAATCCCTAAAGCCCCTAAACCCTCTAAACCCTAAAGGAGGTTCATGGGACTTAATAAGTACAGTTATAAGTACCTTAATTGTGGTTATAAGTACTTATAAGTATAGGTACCTTATCTATAACCTATGTTACTAAGTCCCATGAACCTTTAAACTTAAGGAAAGCCCTGTCTCCCGCAAGCCTTGAAGCATACGCCCCCCGCAGGGACCAAAGAATCTGAAGCAGCCGCGTCAGCCGATGGGCCGTGTTTACCGACTGGCAGAAGACGATGACCTGTATTGGGCTTAGGGTGTAGTGTTTAGGGGTTTAGGGTTTAGGGTTTAAAGTTTAGGGTTTAAAGTTTGGGGTTTAGGGCTTAGGGGTTTAGGGTTTAGGTTGTGTCTTAATATTGGTTTAGGGTTTAGGGTTGAAGGTGTACAGCCAGTGCTTGAAGCCTTAACTTCTCTCTCTTAAGACTGTAAACCCTAGACCCTAAACCCTAGATCCCCATGCGCTAAACCCCAGCCCCACAAACCCGAAAGGCCCTCAACCCTAAACCCTCAGCCCAACAGACCCTGAAACCCTCAACTCTGCTTTCACTTGGGCAGCTTTGTTACGCTAAACTCTAAACCCTAAACTTTAAACCCCTAAACCATAAAACTTTAGACCGTAAACGGTGTAGCTTCAGCTTTCTTTCGGGAGGCTACAGGTCAAGTGAAGATGACCGAGCCAACTAGAGGCAGGGCGAGAATCCCAAAGGGTGGTAGGTACAGGTATGAGGGGTATACATTTATGGTCTAGGGTTTAGGGTTTAGGGTATACTTCCCCCAATCATAATGACAGTTCCAATTTCGAAGCCCTGCATTCTTCTGTATAGGTCTTCAGGAACCCTTAAAGGAGCCCTAAACCCCAAACCCTTAAACCTTAGAGAAACCCTACATTCTACTATATCGGTACATCGGACCCCTTTGGGAACTAGGGAACTGAACGAACGAGCTGCTTCCCAGAGACTGGAAAGTTCCTCTACTGTAAGGGTTTTAGGATTTAGGGTTTAGGGGTTTAGGGCAAAGTTTAGGGGTTTAGGGCTTAGGGTGAAAATTCAACCATTTTCATGATCCCTCTGTAAACAGCAAGTTTGAGGAGACAAGACTATGGGTAGCTCTCTGAATTAAGACCTGTTTTAGAGTCCTTGTACTAACGGTGTCGTACTCTTCTGGGGGGCCTAGAGATAAGGGACCCTACTTTGGAGAACTACACATATTCATATACCTCAAGACCTAAAGCCCCAAAGCCTAAACCCTGAACCCCCAAACCCGAAACCCTAAACCCGCAGGCCCGAAAAGCATGCAAATGCAGCTTCTTCCTGCGCGTCTTCGATGTGCCAAAACTGGTTCGCCACATAATCGAACTCGGACGTTCGGCTAGTGAGAGTGGCAAACACCAAGCGGTACCCCTTGCCAGCGCCTTTGGGCGGATCCAGCTTGAAGTCCGTGACATTCGACAAGTCGCAAAAGCCGGAAGGCACTTCAAGACCAGGCCTGGATGAACCAGGGACCTGCCCATTAAGAGGGACGCCATGGCATCCTCGTCCTCGAGCAGCGCCGCGTCCCGCGAGTGAAAACAATCCTGGAGCCCCGTGACTGGACACAGATTCAGCACCTGGGGCATGGCGGCTTCAGCATCGCCCAGGCTGCACCATCCACAAACCACGCGAAAAAGTGTTTGAAGGTGGCGCTCACGTGCACCGGCAAAGGCGACATGCTGCAGGGCGCCAAGGAAGAAGCAGCGGCGCTAAAGCCAATACTGGGTTCTTGTTTATAAGGCATTTGATTTAAGTTACCATAATAAAAAAGCACCAGTAATTCCGATAGACCCCTATATTATGGCAACTTAAATCAAACGCCCTGAAAGAACCCAGAATAAGGCACCCTAGACTCGAAACCCGAAGCTTGACGGACTTCAGAGTTTGGGCCCGAAGGGCCCAAACCGGTTCGGGTTTCGGGTTTCGGGTTTAGGGTTTAGGCTTGGCGGTTTAGGGTTTAGGGTCTAGGGTTTTCTTTTTGGCGGAATACGCGCTGAAGCCTAAACCCCTAAGCCCGAAACCCTGAGCCATAATCTCGCAACCTAAACCCGATAAACCCTAAACCGTGAAACAGACAAGACAACTACAAGAAAAGCCTTCAAGAACCGTAATCCCTATAAACCCTAAACCCCAAACCCCAAACCCTAAACCCCAAATCCCGTGTCGCACCGGAAGTCGACATTCCTGCGCCCGACATTCTCGTTGGGGTGGGGGCGGGGGGGGCCACAAGACAGGAGACTTCGACTCTACTTGGAGGCTCATGGGACTTAATAAGTACAGTTCTAGGTACCTTAATTTGGGGTTAGAAGTACTTATAAGTATAGTTGCCGTATTTATCTTAATTAATAAGTACAGCTATAAGTACCTTAATTTGGGGTTAGAAGTACTTATAAGTCTAGTTGCCTTATTTAACTTAATAAGTACAGCTATAAGTACCTTAATTGGCGTTAGAAGTACTTATAAGTATAGTTGCCTTATTTATAACCCAAGCTACTAATTCCCATGAAGCTGTATCTAGAGACCCAGGCCTTCGCGTTGGAGGAGTCATCGCCATCTTGCGTCAGCATCTGCTGCAACAAGTGCCTCGGCTTATGGGACGAAAGAACTCTCGAAACCTCAATACTATAAACTTACAGGGTTTATCTAAACCCTAAACCCTAAACCCTATAGGGTGTAGGGTTTAGGGTTTAGGTTGTAAACGTATAGCAGACTAACAGTTTGATGCCGTTACCAAGAGGGCCCATACATACGGTTTAGGGTTTAGGGTTTAGGGTTTAGGGTTTAGGGTTTAGGGTTTCTGCATGACCCAAATATATAAGGTCATGCAGGATTTTGTCCATCAAACGTACCACTATTATGGACTCGGGTCCCCCCAAGACCATCCTTACAGTGGCTGAACCTAATTTTACAGGAAACTACAGGTGGGAGTTTAGGTTATATCGGGCTTCGATAAGGCTTCTATGAAGTATATAGACCTTCTATGAGGCTCCTATAACGGTAACTACCCACCTGAAAATGTCCTAGATAATTACTTCCATCTAGTAGTACAGAAGGACCCTCTGTGCCAAAGACCATGCTATATAATACATGTGAGTAATTCTCTAAATTTGGGTCCTTTTTGGGGTGCTTTTTATAAGGGTGCCGTACTATGTTGGGGACCTGACAAGGGACACTCATTTAGAGAACTACTCATGTGTCCAAGCTACGCGTTGTCGACCCACACGCCCTGCCTCCAATGGGATCCCCGTTCAAAACCCCGTGTACCAGCCTTGGTACTCCCTCCCGCCCGTTGAACCGTTTAGGGTTTAGGGTTTAGGGTTTCGTTCCGCTCCACAAACCGGAGTGTGCTTCGCGTTCTTGTGCTTGGTTCAGCCCATGTGAGACTCAAAACAAATATCGGGGCAAGCGCTTTCCCATACAAAAGGCAGGGGCAAAAGGGTTCGCCAAACCTGGCACACGTCAGGCCTTCGAGCAATTCGTGTGAGTTAGGGTCAGCAGTTGCCTTGAACTACCGTGACCTACTTTTCTTGTAAGCTCTTAATTACTCTTAACCTGAACACAGAAATTCTGGGGACCCTACACAACAACTAGGTTATAGTAGTTAAAGCGTATGGCTTCTGGGAACTGACGAGTTTACAATAACTAGATTGGGATTCCTCCAAGGGTTCCGTGGCCGGCTCTTTGCAGCCTTTCAGGATTCGTTACGGCAAACCGTGCTAGAAAGGTAAGAGTATAAGGAGTCTGTGGCAATTGGGGCCTTCATGACTCATGACTAATTAATAATGGGCTATGTTAGTAGCCAGTCCCGTGTTTTACACCCTAACTCAAGCACGAGCCGATGTCACCCCCCTTGCAGCAAAGTCTATCTTCCGAATCCTACACCCTCAGCATTCATCCCGTCCGCACTACCAAACCCCACAAAAAAAACTCGAAAGGAAGCTCTGTCTAGGCAGTTCTCAACACGATACCATAGTCCGTTTTTACTTAGTCGGACCAAAATAGTCGTTTTTTGTCAGCATGCGATTTGGAATCATACAGGAAGCTGGGACACAACACCGCCAATGGCTTGGCGGCAGCAGCACACCGCAGCCAGTGCTGTCCTTGTGGCTCTAGTGTTGAGATTCCCATTGAACCCTAAAGCCCTAAAACCTAAAGCCCCAAAACCTAAAGCCCTAATGCCCTAAACCTGTTGCCCTAAACCCTAAACCCTATACCCTAAACCGTGGCTGTACAAGCTTGCAAGTCGGGTTTTGGGGCTGGGGACAGTCCTCCGCAAAAAAAACCCTAGAACCGAGACACCCGATCCAACTTGTTGGTGGGATCCGTATACCGTGTACATTAGGGTTTAAAAACAAGAGCCTACCAAAACGTAGGCTATGATTATGGTAGTTTAAGGTAGACCCGAGACGCCCGATCCTGGTTGAAGGGTCAGGGGTGCAGCAAGGAGATTGGATATTTTAAATTGGCGATGCAAGTATCCTCTCTGAAGTAGGGTCCCAAAGAAGCACATAAGCGAAAATTAGGATAGGGATATCCCATATAAACTCCCTTATAAGGAAGCCCAACAAGGTAGGGATATCCCTATAAAATGCTTATGCTTATATCCTTTTTGGGTTCCCAAAAAAGGGTGCGCTTTGAACAAGGAACAAATACCCAGACCCCGGGGAAGATCTAGAAAGTAGAAAATGGTGTAGACAATTATTAAGGCCCCTATAGTACCCTCAAGTAATATAGAATGCCCAAGTAGGAGTTCCACTTTCTAGATCCTCCCGGGGTCTGGGCTTGCAGTCGAAAGGAAAACCAAGCTGCGATGAGCAAACCCTAAACCCTAAACCCTAAACCCTAAACCCTAAACCCTAAACCCTAAACCCTAAACCTTTATCTTGCTTGGAAGCCCTGGCCCCCAAACTGTAACCCCAGACCCTAACCCTAAAGCCTAAACCCTAAGCACCTAAATTCTAAGCCCGAAAAACCCCAAAAATATCCGAAGTGCTACCAAAACCTACTTGTTGGTAAGGTCCCTACAAATTCTATATATATATATATATACATACATATATTCGGGTTCATAATAAGAGCCTGCGAAAAAAAGTAGGTTTTGGCAGTTTAAAGTAACAGTATGGGACAAAACACGGCACAGCCTTCAGACGAAGCTTAGAGCCGGCAAGTTTTAAGGTTGGCTTTCGGGACCCTAGACCCGAAACCGTCTAGGTTTTTGGGTTTAGGGTTTAGGGTTGAGGGTTTAGGGTTTAGGGTTTAGGGTTTAGGGTTTAGGGTTGAGGGTTGAGGGTTTAGGCCCTAAGCCCTAAACCCTAAACCCTAAACCTTAAGAATCGGTCGAACCCTAAGACAGCTTCCAACTTCACCGGCGAGTGACTCAGCTGAGCTGGAGTGGTGTGCTGCCTTGAAGAAGCTTAGGTTAGGTTTAGGGCTCAGGGTTCAGGGTTTAGGGTTTAGGGTTTAGGGTTTAGGGTTTAGGGTTTAGGGTTTAGGGTTTAGGGTTTAGGGGAAGCTTATGGAAGGTTTAGGGCTTGCGGTTTCCCTAAGCCAGAAACCGCAAAACTCCAGAGTTTAGTGCGTTCGGGGTTCAGTTATCTGGTTCCGTGTCGGGGCTATATTAAACATGATCATGTTTAATCCGTAGTGGGTTTTTATTGAACAAAAAACAAACATGTAAACATTGTATCCAACAAGGTCCCAGTTTTGAGGGTTTTCGAACTCAAAGTAGAGCTCCAGAAACTTGGGGTTGTCTGGCTTTTCCGGGCTTCGGGGTTTAGGGCTTGGGGTTGGGGGTTTCGGGTTTAGGGTTTTCGGGTTTAGGGTTTGCAGTTGGTTTTTGTTTTATTCTTGGAGGGGGGGGTGGTTTCGGGTACATTTTGAGGGCCTTGAGGCACCTTTGCGGCCAAAGCCTGAACCCGGATCCTAACACCCTACCTGAACCCCAAATGCATGTAAAATAACCGCCGTTTAGGGGTTCTGGGCATTATTTTGCCTACCGCTGATGGACAAAACTCTGCATGACTCAGGTAGAGTATAGTACCAACTCCCATAGTTCAGGTATATAAAGTCATGCAGGATTGTGTCCATCAGCCATACTGTTGTGGGTTTAGGTATACCCCAAACCCTAAACCCTAAACTCTAAAACCTGAAACCATGAGTCGATGCTGTCATCCTTTGGATCGGTCGTCAGGGATTCGTGCCTGCGGGCTGGTTTTGGATCTAGGGTCTAGGGATTAGTACCAATCACTGATTAGTACCAATGACCGAGTCATGTAGTGGCCTTAATAGTTAGAACAGGGTGTTGGGGCATTTTATACTATATAGATATAGTAAGGAACACCCGTAGTAACATTGGTACTTATCAAGGCCGTATATTACTTGGGTTTAGGGGTTGAGGGTTTAGGATAGTTGTTTTGCAGGTTAGTACATGGACCCTTAGCCTCAAGCTCCATGTGCCGATATAGGAACAAAACCCTAAACCCTAAACCCCACTTGGATTCCTAGTTCGATACTTTAAGCCTTGATGCCACTGGTCCAGGGAGCCTTTGCCCCTAAACCCTAAACCCTAAACCTTAGGGGTATCGCTGGGCTTAGGGCCCCCAAAAAAGCACATAAGCAAAAGTTAGGGTAGGGATTTCCCATAATTGCACCTTTTAGGTGATTGAATTTGTTTGTAATATTACCGAATTCGGTTTTGCATCACTTCGTCTCTAAAGGGCATCTGGGTTAGGGTTTAGGGTTTAGGGTTTAGGGTTTAGGGTTTAGGGTTTTTCCTTAAACCCTATTAACCCTAAACTAAACCCGAGCGCCCTACATCTCCTCCTCGAACGCCGAAGAGACATGAAAGGGGGGTCAAAGGGTTTCGTGTTTGGGCTCAGGGTTTGTGCGTAAAGGTTCATGGGACTTAGTAACCATCCCACGGTGTGGGCCAGCGAAACCATCAAACCATCAAAAACCAGGGTTACAATTTACAAATAAGGCAACTATTCTCAGCATTACTTATAACCCCAATTAAGGCACTTAGAACTGTACTGAGACTTGTATGTTAAGTGCCATGACCCTCCAAGTATGGAGCTTATCCTTGGCAGCTGGCACTGCACCCTGAATCGCCCCCACACAAGAAATCTAAGCTTCGAAACGCGAAACCCAAACAACCGTGAAACGCTGAACCCCAAACACTCTTCACCCTGAACTCTGTTCGCCAAACTCTTGATTAACTCCACTCCCTACACTCGTAAGTCCTAAATCCCTTAAGTCTACTTGAACATGATCCCCGAGCCGCCTACTCCCAGACCCCCGGGAGGATCTAGAAAGTAGAATCCCCAAACCCTAAACCCTAAAACCTAATTTGGGACCCTAAACTGCTCAAGGCTTGTTATCCTAAACCCTAAACCCTAAACCCTCAACCCTAAGCCCCTAAACCCTAAACCTTTCTGGACGCCCCCGAAAAAATCTGGGTTTGTCCGAGGCGCCCAGAACGCGACGAGAAGAAGTACAAGGGCCTTCACATGCCGAGCAACGCGGTTTGGGGCTTATAAAGGGCTTCCCCACCCCGGGCTCCGAGGTTCGGAGGGTTTAGGGTTTAGGGTTTAGGGTTTAGGGTTTAGGGTTTAGGGTTTAGGTCAGGGTTTACGGTATTAGCGGGGCCTTAATATATAATTAGAACCGGGTTTTGTGCTTCTTTATAGCATAGTATATTTATAATCAGGAACCCTAACAACAATACGTATTGGTAATTATTTGGGCTTCTATATTAGCATTGAGCAGGGATTTCCGAGGTTCGTTCGAGGTTTGGAGGTGCAGGGGAGGGCGGGGGGAGGAGTAACCCTAAACCCTAAACCCTAAACCCTAAACCCTAAACGAAGATTCCGGTTTGGGTTTGGGTTCGGTCCCTTTTTTGTTGTGAGGGTGGGGGTTAAGGTTCGGGTTCGGGCGGGGCTCGTTATTTAGGGTGTAGGGTTTAGGGTTTAAGGGTTAAGGGTTAAGGGTTAAGGGTTTAGGGTTTAGGGTTTAGGGAGTTATGCGAACCGAATACCCCATCGGAGTCCTCAGCAGCTTCAGTGCCGCAAGCTTCCGTGGGTCCCAGGTCATTGTCGCGGAGAATAACCTCACAGAAAGCTGGGACGACTGTTTTGTTCATGTCTTTAAAGTCTATGTTTGCACTGCGTCTCTTAAGTCTAAACTGCAAAGCCTCACATTCGTTAGGCCTAGTGTTTAGGGTCTTTTGCGGCGCTCAGAATTATATTCGGTGCACGGTTAAGGGTTTGGGTGTGGGAGAGGACGTGCTGGTTCGGGTTTAGCGGTTAAGTTTTCGGCCTTGGGTTTAGGCAGTGCAACCAAACTCTCTCCCCCCACAATCTATCTGCCCTGCATACCTGCAGAATCTGAAATGCAAGCCTTGGTTGTGGGTACCGTCTTGTCTGAGTCCAAGTTCAAGCATATTCTGAACCCTAAACCCTAAACCCTAAACCCTAAACCCTAAACCCTAAACCCTACCCTGAACCCTAAACCCTGAACCAAAAACCCTGAGGAGGAAGGTCTAGGGGTCTAGGCTAGGTCCGGGCCCCTCCTCTCTTTTCAATAAATACAGCTCAGGGATCTATAAGGGTTCTATTCTATAAAAGGGATTTAGAGGTTTAGGGTTTGGTGACCGCACAAAGGAGCTAAACATGTTTAAGCTGCCATAGAAAGCCGAAGAAAGACCGAACAAAACAACCCTAACACCCTAAACCCATAAGCCCTTCATGCTGAATCCGAAACCCAAAGCCTGAAGCCTAAACCCGAAAACCCTAACGCAGATTGAACCCCGACAAACCCTAAACTCAGTAATCCCTGAACCCTACACCTCATGACAGACAGCCGAGTCGCAGCTTCTGCGGCCGCGGCCGCGGCAGCGCCCCCGGCGCCTGCGGCGGAAGGGCCGTGGCTCGGTCGAAGACCTGCCGGGGCTGTAGGGGCCCGAATAAACAGAATCAGGTTTTGGGGTATATTATACTACAGTTACAATGAGGAAGCTCCAAAATAGAATTGGTAATTGTTTCGGCCCCTTTATTAGGGTTGCTAAAGGGTTTAGGGTTGTTAAAGAGGTTAGGGTTCAGGGTTCCATCCGGGCCATTGAGCTTTAGAAGGTCCGTGAAAGTTCAAAGAAGGTTTGTAAACAACGGCTTTAAAGGATTTATGAGGCTTTATGACCCTGAGTCATCCTGAGGGTATGGAGGCGTCTCCTTTTTGTCTGATGGTGCGGGGAGGCAATCTGGATAATCTCGGAGCGTAAATAAGTAGAACAGGGTTTTGGGATATGTTACAGTCGAATTATAACAAGGAACCCTAAACCCTAAACCCGAAACCAACCCTAAACCCTAAACCCTAAACCTTAGGCTTCCATGCTACCTACTTCCGAGGCAGCCCCTTTCAGACGGAACTCCGGTGTCCCACGGTTCAGTTTTGCAAGGGAGGCCCATTTAGGGTTTAGGGTTTAGGGTTTAGGGTGCTGCTTGGAAAATTACGGAAAGGCTTCTCAAAAAAACAGAGAGCTTGCTATGAGCGAAATGAAAGTTTGGCCCTAAACCCTAAACCCAAACCCCTAAACCCCTAAACTCTAAACGTTTATGATCCAAAACGCCAGTCCAAAACCCAAAACCAAGAACATCGAGGACCCTCGGTTTGTGGAGGGCTGGTACCAACGCAAGAGCTACAACCGCCTAAGCCCAACCCCTAAACCTCAACCAACCCTGAAAAGGGAACCCTAAAGACCCAAAAACAAATCGTAACCCAAGCTTTGAGCATAGAAGCGGTCTACACCATACCAACCGTGATACATTCTTAAGAGTAGTGGCTGTCCCAAAAGGGTAGTCTCGAAGGGCTCATTCAGAGCAGTAAGGCCTGGGCTCCCTTTCCACAGCGATACGGGTGCCTGAATACGTCAACAACGTTTATCATACTCCCTTTTTCGACCTCCCTAAACCCTAAACCCTAGATAACCCTCAGCCCTAAATCCTAAACGCTTAACCCTAATCTTGAATCCCAAAGTCTAAACCCTAACATGACCCTTATAACCCTTAACCCTAAACTCTAAACCGTAAATCCT